AAAAAATTATGTTAAAATGTTAACCAGTCAAATAGTACCATCATTAGGTTTTTCAAATGATACTAAAGATGTGTCATTTATATCAAAGTTTCCATTGTCATCTAAGGAAACTGTTGTTGAGTGTGAAAAAGTATTACAGATTGATTGTAATATTAAAGATAAATTGGTATATTAATGAAATCATCTATTTATATATTTTATTCTTAAAATTGTAATTTATTGAGATTGTTCTCAACAATCTATGTTAACAGAAAAATATGTTTTTTTCAATTGGTAATAATGATGGTAAAACACATCTTCGACGTATTTTATCCAAAACATTTACCGAAAAATTTGCTATTGACTGTTCTTGGACTGAAAGGGCTCTTGAAAAAGACATAACATAATTCAGAATCAAAGATTTACTGATTATTAATCTAATGAACGGTATATTATATAATAAGAGGGACATCCAGAAAGTAAAGATACAAGCTCTTCTTTTGTCAGCATTCCCCGTTTTTTGTTTTTTATGGCACTTCTTAATTTTTTAAGGGTTTCACAATATGCTTGTGCATTAATGGTAGTGCCGCGGACTATGTTATCGACTAGGATAACCCCCTTCCTGTCCCAAAAAACGGATGCCATGATTTTCTGGTCTGAAAGAGTTGTTCGCAATTTTTTGGCGCTGGGAGAATGTGTATGGCGCCACTGCATCGATTGTCTCTTGGTTTCTGGCGTTGTGTAGGAAATCCAAGTTTCATCTCCTGTCACTATACTAACCAAGAATTACTCTCCTTGTTCGTCATGACGTTCTAAAAACATTCTTCCTGCCTCAATCCTCTTCTGTTTGTGTTCTTCCGTAAGCATTTTTGGGCCCAACTAGCAGTTAGTTTCCTATAATCAAGTCGATTTAAGATAACTTCGTGTAGAACTGATCGAGAAATACCTGGACACTTCTCGAGAAGTTCATCTAGAGTCAAACGAAGATCTTCACGGATGAATTGTTCGACTTTTTGGATGAAATCGTCGGTCATCAAAGACGGCTGGCCGCTCATCTCCTCATCGTGCACACTCTTTCTTTCTTATCAAAATTCTCCTACCCATTTGGTGACGTTTTGGCGATTCATAACATCTGGTCCATATGTCTTGACAAGTCGACGATGAATTTCAGTGGGAATGACTCCTTGAGCGAGAAAACAGATCACACTTCTCACTTCACACTTTGAATATTCAGTGATGGAGGTGGCGGTAGTACGCGATGACTCGCCCATCGTGAAAACGTCTTACAGACAAAGAACGAAACGTACTAACACCTCTCTGGTCTGAACTTGTTCGCGATATGTCACTGAAAGTTGCAGTAGTGCCAATGTTCGAAAAAAAATGTCCCTGTGGCCATGGCCCCCCGGCTTGTATCTTTACTTTCTGGACGTCCCTTGTAATACATTTTATGCGTCAAGCAGTTTTTATAAATATAATTTTAAAACTATTTTTCTTAGGTATAATTAAAAATAAATATCAATATTCTGATTCTACATTTGAATTAAAAGTACTGAGTTGGTTTAGAACTGCTAAAACTCGATATGACTGGACAAAGTAAATTTAAAGTATTCCTACTTTTAAAAATTGGTTAAATACATTTAGGGAGTATATACCAAATACCTATATGATAAATGTGATAATATATATATATATAATAATAATAATTAAGTAACAAATATTATGTGTAACTTTTTAAATTAGGTATTTAAAAAAAATGTATATACTTATATTAATGTTGTTAACAGTTCACAAAGATATTGGAACTTTATCTTAACGTCAGTTTCGGAGGTGCATTCAAAATAAATTACAATTACTACATAATAATTTCAATAATAATAATCCAGTAATAACAATAAATTTTAATATTCAGTCTTCATCACAAGTATGTTTTAAAATAAAAGTTTGTTTTGTATATTATATATATATAAGTATTTGTTTTTAGGTAACAAATTCTAATACTCTATTAAAAGTGTTTTCCAACGATGAAATTAATTCCACTAATTGTATTGAATCATATAATACTATGAATATTGTAACTAATAATGCACAGACAAATCAAATTCGTAATTTCATTGTAAGCATTAAACACATTTAAATCTAGGTTTACCTAATAATTTTTCTAAATTATAAAGTGTATTAACTTAAATTTTTTAGGATCTTTCTGAAGATGTACAGCCCATTGAAGACTGTTCAACAAGTTCGATTAAAGAAAAAAACAAAGATCTGGTAGAACATCTTCAAAAATGGGCAGTGCAATTCAATGTATCTCACGCGTGTGCTAATGAAATGTTGAAAATTCTGAGAAGTACAGGTCTACAAGTTCCTAAAGATATTCGAACAATTTTGCATAAATATAAGGTTATCAGACCTATTATAGAAATAGAAAATGGATCATATCTCAATTTAGGAATTTACAATATTGTACAACCTCATTAAGTTAAAGAAATAGATAGCATTCCTAATAATATAACAATAAAATTGAGTTTTAGTATTGATGGTTTACCTTTAGCTAAAAGCTCTAAAACACAATTTTGGCCTATTCTTCTATCATTCATCAATGTACCCATTTTTTCAAACAAAATTTTTCCTGTTGCTATTTATCACAGCTATAAAGGCAAACCCAGTGATGTAAATGAGTACTTACACCCATTTATTAATGATCTAAATATTCTTTTAACTTCTGGTATTAAAATTAATGATAAGCAAATACATTTCAAAATAGCTCATATTGTAGCTGATGCACCAGCTCAAGCTTTTTTATTAAATGTAAAACATTTTAATGGCTATTTTAGTTGTACTTCTTGTGAAGTTGAAGGAGATTATATTGATAATAAAGTTTGCTTCTTAGATTTTTCCACACCACTAAGAACAAATGATTCATTTAGATCAAAATCAAACTCTAGTTATTTTTGATCTGGCGAATATCCTTTCAATGTGTATATTTACACTAGCTACATTGTAAGTTTTAATCACCTCTTCTTCTGTGAACCGTCCATAGTGAAGAATAGGTGGCATTACTAAAATACTTTGTTTTTCATCACAAGGGACCTTGATACCTGAGAACCCTTTATCTGCTAACACTTCATCTTCAGATTCTAGTTTTAATAAAAACCCACTATCATTGATAATAAATGTATCACTTGCTTTACCCCCATAACACTTTGATAAAAAACAAATTAAACCATTCGGAGTTATAGCAATAAGAACTTTGACTGTATAAGCATTTTTGTATCTAGAGTACATATGAACTCTTTGTTCGACAGTATTTGGCTGTTCAGTTTTAATTTTGGTGCAATCAATTATACAACGACAGTTGAGGTAGTTTTTTTTGAAAGATTTAGGCAGAGTTTCCAAAATAGTTTTTTTGTTTGGCAAAAAAATGAATTCTTTTGTTTTTGTTACCAAAGAATTTAGAATATTATAAGATATCCTTGTAACAGTAGTACGATTAACATTAAAAAGAACACTAATGGCTGAATATGAAATACCAAGTTTTTATCAAAAAAATTAATAACCTATTTTCTTTACTAATTGTGCTACGGGTTTAATCAAGTGTTAGTGATAATAAAAGTTTAAATACTTTAAAAGTAGTGCCAG